GACGAAAGTAAATGGAAAATTATATGGTCAAACCCAAAATTTTAATATATATAATAAATTATTTGAAAATACTGTTTCGTAATAAAGTAACTTTTCACAGCTTATGTCAGCAATTTTAGCAATTATTTTAGAATTGTGTTAACTCATGAACAAGTTCAAAAAGTGTAGAAATAACTAATTTAGGTCATAACATTAATTACAGTGTATTACCTCTATACAGTAGATGATTATGGTATCTCTCTGTAATCAGATATTACAGTCCATATACAATGGATAAGCTGCTCAGTAACCATAGCCTATTACGTATGCATAGCTAACTATCCATCATAAGATATGTTCAGTAGTGAATTTGCGTCTTACCTGCCTATAACAGGGTCATAACTTGTATATGCATATGTTAATAAATTAAATAATTAAATAATTTGCATCCAGAGGGCAATTTCACTTTCTAAATTGTTCAAACTGTTACTGAAATGTGTTTACTAAGTTCGGAATGTTATAGAACAAAACCGGACATATATTAAGTACCGGTATCACGTTTCTTTTTGTGAAATTACATTGATCTTTTAACCACTCAGACATCCAGACTCTTGATTTTGTGGGGCGTTGTCATGTAAAATTATATAATCTTCACAGCTGCCCAGACAGACAGTCACCATCTCAATTTTATAATAGTATAGATGTACATGGAAAAAATTATAAAAAAAAGGTAAAAGAGGAAATTTCATGAGGTATCACTCAAATAGTTTCCATTTAAGTCAAAACTAAGGCTTGTCCTAGTATTTTTAATTGTCATATTCATTATTCAAAATCAATTAGGTAGCATAAATAAATGAAAAACTTTCTTCGAAATAACTATGCATGGACTGAACTATATTCAGCATATGTTTAACCATTTAATACATTACTACCTATTAACATCTTCATATACGTATCGAATACCCCAACCCCTTATTTTTTCTATAACAAGCCCCCTTTTTAATTCAAATATGAGTCACAATATCGAATTCAATATTTACATTCAACAAAGGATCTGCATGACATGCTTCTTTGACGTCTCAAAGCATCCAGAATTAAAAAGAACAAAGAACAAAGAGATGAGGACAACGACATATGGCAGTGTTGATTATTTAATTACTCAGACGTTTGACCTGTCATTGTCGAGGGGAGCTTTACCATTCGAGTAAAACACGAGGGCAACATTTTTAATGTGCTCTTTGAGAGTGGATGTAATTGCTGTGAGAGTCGTGCATTGAAGTGTTTGAAAAGTAATAAATAATTTTCAACGCGTGACCAAGCTTTAAAGTTGGTTCCTGACTTTTAATTTTTTTTGTCTACACCGTTGCCACTTTAACTTTGTAAAAAGTGTCAAAGCTCTGGTCTTGGTGCAATCCATCATTGATAATTTGTTGGATCAGTAATAATAGCGCCACCCCTAGAAATTATCTGATTGGAATCAAACCAGTAACCTTTAGATTTGAAGGTAGCACAATAACTCGTTTACAAAGATAATATGGCTGGATTTCTTATATTTTTTTTACCAGAGCTTAAAGTGTTAAAATATTCTTGCATTACTACAATTTTCCCATTAATACATAAAAAACTTTCGTAATTTGTTTTTATTTAGCACAGATGATGATCATCACTGTTGGAGTTGTTTACAAATTAACATAAACGAATTTATTTGCAATTATGTAGTTTTAATTTTGGCCAAACAATTTAACAGCTGTGCTTCCATCAGCAGGGCCAGTAAATACATGTTGACGAAGTGAGCTGGTCTAATGGTTAGAACGTGGAACTTCCCTTTTCGAGATACTGGGTTCAAATCCCGCCAATCACCAATAGATCCATATAATAATGCCGCAACCTCTAGGCCGAGCCAGAAGTTGCTTGACAAACGACCCAAGGCTAGAGTTTAGCGTCCTATAATTTAAAGGTGGCACATAAAAACAATAATTGAAAGACTCGTCAATCATTTTCCGATATATTCAACAACGTTCCATTTATTCGCACTCTATAATATAAAATAACAATGTTGGATTTTACAAAATTCAATTCAAGAAGCTTCAGAGGTAAATCAACTACAACAGCTCACCAGCAGAAGTAGGGGAGCTCAAAATGATGCATGGGGTTACGCCCACAGCGGACAAGAAAGAAAAGAACAATCGGTTAAAAGAATCCAACGTGTCTGTTTCTTAGTTGCATTGGTTGGGATTTTCAGGTTTTCTGTAAACTTTAAAAATATTATAGCACGGACAATTATAGTTTATCGAGTAATCAATTGTTCATTATATGTTCAACATGTTGGATAGAACTTTGGGAAACTACCTGAAATAGGTGAACCTTTAGCAAATTCTCCTGTATAATCTCAGCCAGAAAACTCTTATAAATATTTATTTGTTGCATACAATCTTGAAATAGTAATGTACAATGGATTCAGTTCTGCTGAGAGTTATAACGTACAACCTTTGACCATTGAAAGAAAAGACATTGCGTCCCCAATTTTAAGTGACAACCAGTTTTTAAATTAACATGGAACTAGTTGATGTGAGCCACCGACAGATTGTGCTGAGTAAATTACTGATTTGTGATGAACATGCGGACTTTTTAACCAAGTCAAGCTGATAGAACGACTTATTGTAAACTTATAATATTTTTTGTCACGTCAACTATATAAGTGACAAGGAATAAGAAGAAAAAAGAAATTTAGACAGTAACGAGATCTGTGACTAGCTTACAATACTATGTGCTTTTCGAATAAAAATTGTGACAGCTGGTCCATATAAATGTGATGTCTGCTTCAGTATCTAAAACATTGACTATTGTATCAATAGCCAAAGCTAAAACTCAATGGTACAACAACTACGTTCATCACAGAAAAAATCAGACACAAATTGAAAAGAAATAGTGTTGAATACCAAATCACATATAATGCTGATTTCAATGTAAGAAAATATTGTTTAAATTTTCTTAATGGTTTACGATAAACATTGTGTAATTACTACTTTATTGAGAATTTTTCTAAAAAGATTGAATAACAGAGATTTAAAAAGCACGAGAATTTAACTATTCTAAAATATTTCATTCACAATCCAATAAAGATAAATACCAATTTCTGTATTATTAGTATGGTTGCTTCAACAAAATAACCATAATAAAATAAACCTATTAAACAGCCTGACTTGAGCCAATTAAGCATTAATAGTATGAGAGTTTAAAACACACGTGCAGAAGAAAAAGTCACTTGAAGATATAAATAACGCAACAGTGCTTCAGCAAAAACCACAGAGTAGCAGACATGTAAACAAAAACACTACATGTGTGTCTGGTGATGGGAAGTTGGTCCTTACCAAAGACGTATAGAATATTCTAAAATGAGTGAACAGCAGTTTCTATATATCCGCACAAAAATTAAACTGACCCATAGTGAAAACTTTCTCACTTTAAACTATAACCAGTAAACGTCATCAAATGTGTTTACATTTAAAAAAGCAATGTTGAAAAAAAAATTACCTCAGAATAAGTACAAACTAAAAGGTGACTGTGGCTTATTATATGACAAGTTCGTATAACACATTCAATATTTGGGAATGAAGAGACTAAAAGGAAGTGTAAACGGTCCTGATAATTGTACGACTTCCCTCTGCACTACCTACAGCTTAACACTTTTTGCTGCCCGCGAGAGAGCAACATTTTCCATTAACACCTTGCTGAAGGAAATGTAAAACTATCTTCTTCTAATTTGGTGCATTTAAAGAACTTACCATGTTGTACATGGAATACATCACGTTGGGATCAATAACGAGGTTTAAATCCGTATAAAATATTTGCACCACTATATTAACGAATATTTTGAGAACATTTATTTACAAACAAATCCTGAACTCTGGTAAAACATAAGCAAAACTTAACATTTTAACAATCCAGCAACAGCTGTTACACAATAAATATCAAAATAAAGTAAAGAAAAAAGGCAATTTATTCACAGCAAGTGAGTTAATTTCCTGATGAAATTAAACCTTCTAGATGATAATGCAAAAAGGCAAATCAGCTGATCAACAATGAAGTAAAACCCACGGAGATAACTAACTCATAATCTAGTATTGTCCCTAAATAGTGTTTCTCAGTCCTAGTACGTAATTTGGGTTGTTAAAAACACTCTGTATATATGACATTAGTAAAGGTGGGATTTCTCATTTACTCATTTTTTCGCACGGTACAGAAGTGTGAGATAATCTATTGAATTGCTAATCTCTGTTTTACGTTCAATTGCGACATCACAATGCATTACTTGCATTATCGTGTGACCTTGGAGAAGGTCAGACAGCTCATCTTCTACCTTGCAGTATTGAATGACGTGGTTTGCTACTCTCCGAATCCGCAATATACAACACTGATGTTGATGCTGTAGTATGTGTATCTTTGGTGTAAGATTTGTTTACTAATCTACTCATATTCTGCTACGTTGCTATAATTGTGAGACGATATAATTTACTAATCTATATGCTACGTCCAATTGCCACAATTGCATTTTATCTGTGTGAATGTATGAGTATGATGCTGGCTACATACTTGAATAAAATTTAAATCTACTCTCCTAACTGTAAAATTCTATCTTACTAAAGATTCCTATTTTAATTTCCCTTGAAAGCAAAAATATGCCCGCCAATTTAGCCAGCGTTGGTCAGGAAATTGTTTAACATAACGAACGTGACGTGACTCAGAAGATCATATAACTTTATTCATAAAATCAAACGGCCATATGATAATTAATCAGAATACTGATTAATCTAATCGTAAGTGTATTTACATAATTAAAACAAGTTTGTACAAATCACAAATTTAGAATAAAACATTTGCATTAGCAAGTATTATCTACTTCCTCCAAAGATTGCAATTTTCACTCCGGTCGTACGATCACTTTGTGCCACTGAGTCTACAAGCGCGCACGATCACGATGTGACCTGCTCCTCTAGGCAATCAGCTGTTAGTCTACCACATGGCATGTGTCCCCTCTGCCAGCTGGTCTACGTATTGTTGACTGGTGAGGCGTCTAGTCAGTAATGGGATTGTGAATGTGAACGTTCCGCTAGTGTTAGTGCCATTTTGGATAGCGTTCTGTGCCGATTTCCGTTAGTGCTTGAGTTTGATTTGGTCGAACTATGGGGCCGTGCTGTGTATAGTGTTTTTCCTTTGGATTTCCTATAACAAAAGTGAGTACGATAGTTTTATTTGGTTTCAAGAAAAAATTATGCATGAATTTTCATGCAATGAAAATAATAATTGGCTATTGTTAAACAAATGTTTGACTATGTAACTAAAATTTTTGAATGATTTTTATTAGTTTTGTCATTTTGTTTGTGGTATTTAGTCATAGCATTTTCTTAAAAAGGCTACCATTTCGCATCATGTTTCGTGGATAGTGGAAATACGCTAAGCTACTTTATATAAATGAATTTACCAACAACGTTACTAAATAAGTAACATTCGTAGCTATTTAACTACTGTACAATAACTACGTATCATTATTGCTATTGATTTTTTTCGATGCACTTCAATTTTCGTGCTGAGAGAAATCCTTGTATTTCATAGTTAAAAAATGCCCCACTTTATAACATTTTACTTTTACATTATTATTATTTTTATCGCCAAGTAAGTAGGTAACAGACATAGAAATTTTTTTATTCAAACATAAAATGTAAATTAATTAAGGTCTATTCTAATCCAAGTTTTAACATTGCTTGTGCACTCATTAGGAACTTAAATTACGTAATTTTTTATGGTTATGTTAAAATGAATAGCAATTTACGGATTTTGGAACAGATCCCGATTCAGAAGTCAACTGACGTTTGACATTTACTACGAAAAACTGTTTCCGTTTCTTGATAAGCGGACGACACGTTCCAACAGCTGATAACAAGTTGAAGATAGCCAGACTTACTGATAAGACGCCAAATATTGAATTAGGATCACTGTCCGGCCTATTAGATATCAATGGAGCCATTTATGGTGACCAAAAAGAGAGTTTTCTTCGGGATTTGTCAAAAATAAGTGGCAGTTTCTAAAATTCATTTTTCCCCCGATGGAATTTGGTAATTTAGATCAGCGCAGCATAAGCTAATATCTTTGACTATTGCCATAATAGACATTCCATAGCCATGGTAAATTTGTAGCCAGTTTTTTTTTTTTTTTTTTTTTTTATCAAACTCGTTGTTGATGTGAGCCACTGACAGATTGCGCTGATCTAAATTACCAAATTCCATCGGGGGAAAAATGAATTTTAGACACCGAGTTAGCGCATTCTGTAACTGAATCATACATCTAAGTTTGTTTAATAAAAAAAAAATTGTGACAGCATATAGATGAGATGTCTACCTCAGTATCCGATAGTCAATGCTAATTCGTCTAAATTTTGCATAAGGTTTTATGGAAGCGAGATTTTCAATTGAAATCCCACAGTATAATTGGATGAAGTTACGACAAATTATTTCGCAAAAGTGACTTAAGACTCCCTTATGCGCAAACAATAGCACGTAAAAAACGTCAGCTGCTCTTGTCTAAGAAGGGGTGGTTCTTTTTAAGCGTTAGAAGGGTACAACCCCTCTACCGTAAACACTATGTCTCGGTTCGATGCAATATTTCACTAGTTAAAATCCAAACAGTTTCGTGTTGACGTGGTTTGTGTGGTACAGAGTGACAGATGACATCTGCTACTCATGTTGATGGTAGAACAAACAACGAGTGTGGAAATGAGAGCAAAAGAAACAAATTAGATGTTTTGTGAGCCGAGTTCTCCATGGAATGCCAAGTGAAACTGAAGTTACGTCAGCGAATTAATTGGACACGCTCAGCAGATAAAAAACGCAATTAGCTTGATTAATCCTGTTCGGTTTTCATGATTTGTAAACAATATCAGTATTGACGACCTGTCTTTCAGTACAGGAAAAAATGAAACAGGAAATGTTTTGAATTGGAATGAAACAGGAAATTGTTGTAGCATTTAGTTAAATTTATACGAGTAGTAAACGTATATAGTTTTTTTTAACTATAAATAACAGAGAATTGCGCTGTTTTTGCTTAACATTTTTCAAAAGTACCTACGTCAAGTTATTTATGATTATTATACTGTATTTAAACTTAACTTAATGGCGACCCTAAACTATTCGACTGGTACAGTCGTTTACTCTTTTATTGGAAAATTAATTGTTGTAATAGACTTCTAGACCGTAAATAAGATAGGCTATATGCCTAAGTACCGTATTTAGGTATAATTCTGAAATTTATAGCAATATAAAAAAATAGTTATTTAATTGTATTGTAATTTTAGTTACTTATTGGTTCTTTGTGCTAAAAACAATTAATATTGGGTGAATATTTTTCCTACCGTTACCCGAGTGTTTACGAAAGATCGTTTTTGGGTTTTAAATTTAAAAGCATATTTCACATTCCTCCAAATTTTATGAGTTTATTTTGAGGGTAAAGTATCTTCACGTAAGAATCATTGCAAAAGAACGTGAAAAACCCCCAAGGCAATGTGTAAACTTTCCAAGAGTTCGAATAATCGACACCCTTTCAACTATCTTTGGTAAACCCAGTGCTTCCCAACTTGAAAAGTGACATTCTAAAATTCTAGCTCACTAACAATATGAAATTCCTCCCAAGTAATAGAAGTTACACCTATGTGTGGATTATACACGTCTATTGGGTAAAAATCTTCAATATGTGATATTGACTTAACATTTGGCTTTATTTTTGGACTTGGACCAAAATGCAAATCTCAATTGGACGAAAATGTTATATTTTTGATGTTCGGAAGGAGTTAATCGATTCAATAGCATGTTTTATTGGTTTAGGCTGTGAGTAGTTTTCGTTGATTCATATAAAATAAAATATGCTCAAAAGTTTCAGCCATCTCGAACCTTATATTATACAATATATGAATCATAGTCGTACTCGACGATACCAAATTTACAAAATAATATTGGGCTCGAGATATCATCAAAGTAGAATATTTTAATCTGATATCCAACACTATTTTCTTTATTGTTACGTTATCTCCACATTCTATGGTTATATTGATGTCCGCATTCTGTAAATTTATTTGCCTCCGCGATTTCAGTGACTTTGAGACAAGTGTTGTTATCAGTTTGAATTGTGCCCTGAAGCATCTGACCTTGCGAACTGAGCCGATCTGTGCTCTGTAACCCTGCATTCCAATAGACAAGATCTTCTTTCGCGTCATTCAATCTGTCTACTCGCTTGTCGAATGCCAGTTTTCTGGGTCACTATTCACTTCCATTGTACATAAAAGCCTTGAATTATTATTCGCTGTTACAGATTGCATTTTCAATAATGCTTTCTTTTTTGATTGGAAATGAAAGTTTGTTTTGGCTATTAGTAAAATTATGTGTTTTTTTTAGTGTCCTCATCTAGCAACAATTATCTTGCTTAAAATGTACAATATTTGTTTTTATTTTTTAAGTATTCATTCATTTAAGTATTTAATTCATGGTAAGTATTCAAAACCTTGAAGTCACTGTACACTAGTGGCAAACATGACCATGAAAATGTTTATATTTTGACGTGGATGCCACTTAGGAGCGTATTTTAACTCCAATATTAGTAGCCTAAAGGACATGTTTTGAATGGGGTTGGTTGGTTACTGACTGAGATCAGCTGTTTCATCATCCGGGATGACCAGGAACAACTGGGTCTAGTTTCGAACTATAGAAAAGCTATTGGCTTTTCTCATGGTCTGCCGGAAACTTTTCTTTTACCTCTGAGCTTCCCAGCCACATTAAAACAAGTATGGACCTGGCTAGAACAAAGCCCCACTAGAAAAACAGAACCAGCTGATTTTACTAAGTTTCAGAGCTACCATTGAATCAATTCACTACTCATATTCGTAGTTGGGGTACTGGTGTGTCGGTGTCGACTAAATGACCACATAATACCTAATAAGATACATAAAACCTAATGATACCTAATAACCAATTATAGCTACCCAAACCCAAGCACAATACACGCGCTAACCAGACCTACCACGTAGCATTTCCGGTGACTTTTGATGATAAACAGGTTATCAACTGAGTTGTGTTTCGCCAGAAATGCACGAGCTAGTGACTCACTGCCTCACCGCAAGGTATGAGTCACACGGAGTCATCGCTGCAGGTGAGTCAGCAGGGTTGCTGCACTGTGGGTGATAGGAAGAATGTGGGTCAACCGGTGAAATTGTCGAAACACCCCGTTTAGCACGATCGCTTTGTAACAGTGGGGTGGTCTATAGTCTGTATGTTGTAACCTGTCTTCGGAAGTGTACCTGAGACTGACCCGGGGACTCTAGAACATTGGCCAGTCTCGAGAACTCGATATATAGCTCTTCGTTGCTGCTAACAGCAGGTTCAATTTTAGAAATATATTTACAAAAAATAACATAACCTTGATCATTGGTGGAGGTTAATTTAAACCCAAAAAATTGTTTCAATGCATCGAAGATAATATTCATATACTGGGGTACCTTCTATTTTGTCAGTATCTTACTATCTCACAATCAAATGAGTTTTTCTGTTATTCACATAACTGATCGGACAATTGTTTTACTGTTCAGCCAAAGTTTATTATTAAACACGTTTTAAGCGCAATCAACGATCTTCTTGTAGTCACGGTGTTTAAGCTTATGGGCAAAGTTATTCAGCTACACAAAATATCATAACATAGAAATTAGTAATGCATTTACTTTTTTCACTTGATCAACAAGTTTCACAATACGGTAAAGAGAGTCGCTTTCGTTTAACATAGGACAGGTAGAGCGGTGAAAAGAGTTTAACTTGCGAAATAGGTCTGTTTATTGTGTAGAGGAAATGAGTTTTCAGCAGCATTGAACTCAAAGCCTGTTCCGTGTAGCTTGTTGGCTGTGCAAATAGGCCTATCGTGTTGGTATAGTTGGTTTCGCAGATAATATTGTCATTGGAACAAAGAATTGAAGTTCTAGTCTATCTTTGTTTGAACAGAAAGATTTGGAAGCGTAAAATTCTGGTGATTTCATACACAACCATGCTGTTTTCATTTGCAAGTAATCCGGTTAGTTGTTTTCTAAAGAGTTCATACGTGAAGTGGTCGAGTTTTCACACAATAGATGGTGAAAAATCAGGACAAATAGAAAAAAAAATATTGTGTGTGTTTTAAAATATAATAGAACCGTGTTTACGTAAAC